CTTCTCACTGTAACAAATACAAAGCGACTTATGCTAAAGAAGCTGCACTAGCGGTGCTGTGTTTCACCAGGTAGAGAGAAAGTACAGGCAGCATCGGCGGCAAAAGGGAGTAGTAGGTAACGCTGGTGGTTCGTTTAAGCCGACACGAGGCGAAGAGAGAGGTGGCCAGAGGTAACAGGAGAGGCTTTCACTTGAAAACAAACTAAAAGTTAAAAGCTTTTGACAATACACACTCTCGGAGCGCGTCGACCCGGGATCGAACCAGGGACCTTTAGATCTTCAGTCTAACGCTCTCCCAACTGAGCTATCGACGCCTGAGGGGCCGTTCGTAATGCTTCTACACATTGTTTCCCTTCCAGGGGGTATGCCTTTTATTTAAAAAAGAAAAACTTTTCTTATGCCTTAAACTGATAAAGATAAATTACTTAGACAAAACGCTAAACCCGCAGACGAAGGAGAGCTTCCGAGTTGCCCCCGCACTGCGCGTCTGCGCGTGCGGGGGAGTGCCGGTTAGACTTGGGTAGATTGCCTCTAAACGCAGGAAATATCTCTTCGAATAATTAAGTGAATATGCATTTTTTTTTATTTTTATAAGAAAGAGAACTGATCGCCCGACGGCAATATACTGCCGGCTAGCCGGAGACTGTTCTGTTTCGTCCCTACCCCATTCTCCTGCGTCTGGGGCCACCAACATCAACATCGTCGGCTGCTCGTTCTTGTGAATTGCATCTTTTTGATTTTTATATTCATATTTATTTATTTGCATTCGTACTGAATCGTGTGTGGGCATAGACTGCTGCGGTGCTGTGTTTATTCCTGTCCCCTTTCCTTCGTGTTCCTACCGTCTCCGCAACATGGATCTGATGCGGTTGCCGGTGTTGTTTTTCTGGCTTCTTGCGGCAGTCTTCGTTGGAGCCGTTCGTAAGGAAGAACAGGACCTTTTTCGTGATGCCCTGAGAGAGACGGGGACGGACTTGTCTCCCCAAGAGATGTCGGATGCGATGCTTTTGTTGGGGGCGTTGAACGAGCATCAGGCCAAGGCATCTGAAAAAGATGCAGAAAAGTCAGCAGCAGATAGCGGCAAATCGAAAACGGAAGATCGTGGGTACATGGACAAGGTAGGCCGCGGCGTAAGCAAGGTCCACGGCGCCGACTGGTTTAAAAAGCTGCTAAAAAGGGCCACAAGAAAAATGAAGAAAAAATGCCTAGTTATTAAAGAAGAAGGCGGAGTTCCTGAGGCCAAGGACGCCCCCCTCGACTCCTTTGGTTACCCCAGGTTCGATTCCACTACAAAGCGTTACGGGGTCTTCCCTGGTGTTCCTCTCCATCGTATAGCCGGCTTCTTGCAGCCTATCAAAGTGGGCGCACAGGACTACGTCGTTCAAGGCAACCCGGCCGATGTCTTGATATTTTTTGAGTGTTTCTCTGCGTATGAAATCATAGGTTCGGTGCTAGACGAGACAGGGCACTGGGTCAGCACCCCCCAGTCCCACACTCCGGTGTGTCTACAAGCGCAGAATGTGGGGTCCGGTGCGTTTGATTCGGTGAAGGAGATGTTGTTGCATCAGTCTGTCTCAACACTTGTCAAGTTCATTAGCCCTGATGGGCTCTTCCTAGAAGCGATGCAAGAGGCGATGGGTATGGCGCCTGGGGCCGCGGACGCCATGCAAAAAGTGTATGACTACACGAAATCCAGGTGGTTTTATGCCATGCAAGTCTTCGGAATTGCTACAGCCTTAGGCGTCTCAGCATCCGACGCTAAAAAGGCGATCAAGGACGTCGGCAGGCAACCAGACTTCCCCAACCGCGTAAGGCACTTCCTGAAACTCCTGCAACAAAACAAGAAAGACATTCCACCAGGAAAGTGGGTAGATCCAGATGTTGTCAATATCACCGAACCTGTCACCATCACCATCACAATGTACCCCAAACCAGGCCATGGAGTACGCGCCACAGCCTGTCTCAGCAGCAGCCGCGTTTCCGTCGCAGAGGCGTTTACAACTATAGCCGCACTCTTCGTCAAAAGAGGAGTGGACGACGCCTTTGGCGATTTAGATGCGTTCATAGGTTGAAACGCTGACCCGCTGGCTCGCGTTGCTGCAACAGGGTTCAAAGCAAATGTCTACATGGAAGGTGTATGCATATGCACCAATTGTGCACGTGGGTATTGGCTGCATGCATGCATACGGAAACATACACGTTTCGAACAAATGAGTGCAGTAACGCCTGTTTAAATAAAATGCATTTCGTCACAATCCTTGTCTTCATCATCTGCTTGTAAATGCAGCTCTTTGGTTGTCCAAATAATCGGTGGTTGGGGGAGAAAGCAACAATAGGGTGATTTGAAGCAAGTTGGCTGAAATGCATGAAAGTGAGAGGAAAATACCGCTGAAATCCCCTTTTTATTCATGTTTCCACAGTTTGCTTCGCTTTGTTTCACTCGGCTATCACAGTTTTCGTGTTGTGGGTGCGCATTGGAAAGGCTTTTTTGCCGCACAACACCGAGAATTGTGGTTTTTTTTTTCGCTGCTTTACTTGGAAACACAAATGAAATTTCGTCCTTCTATGATTAGAAGGAAGCACTTGATTTATAGTCTTCTGATCCGCAGTTACCTGCGCACGTCTTAGCATCTACTAGAGGGGAAATCGCATGTGAATAAAATACATGCATTTGCGTCCATGCATGTATGAAAGTTTATCCATTTCTTTCAACTTTATTTTCCAAACATTTTCCTTCAGTTGAAGTTTTTCACTGGGAACTGCGCAAAACGAACTAAGGCAGGGAATCTGCAACAAACAACCGATCTCGCCCGATATTTGCCGATATTCAGTATATG